CTGATTCATCCATAATTAAATGACTTTTCTTATAGAACATTTTATAGTAGAACATTATAGAACAAAACAAAAAAATAAAGAGGTTCGAGACAATAAAGACTGAGAAAATTAACTTAAGAACAAATTTCATTACTAAGCTCCGTTGTAAAATTTGGACCTAAACATTAAAGTAAGAAGTGATGGGAACGATGGAAACTGTGAATCCAAAAGATTTTATTAAAATGAATCTTAATGATTCGCCGGTCGGGATGGCGGAACAAACCGGAGACCAATTCATCTATTCTGAGAAGTAACGAAACAGTCCTTTCTCTTTTCACTCTTTGTAGTCTCACCCACTCCAAGTAGATTTCTCAGCATTTCAAACTCCATAGCTAATCATCGGTAAGGTTTGCAGTTCATTAGCTTGTGTAGATAAGGTGAGATGTCAAACTCCCTAGGTCGCAAAGCAAGATAAGAAGAAGCCTCGCGGCCGTGTCTACAAGCGTATGCAATACAACTGCTGCTCAATCACTGCCATTGTTGGCTTTGGAAAGAAAAGGGGGCCAAACTCATCATAGAAGTAAACATGAGGACTGAGGTATGGTAGTTTTAGCAGGTGAAATTCTGTTTTGAGCTTGTTGCATTGTTGTGTTGGTCATGTTATAGCTGTTGGGAAACTCGAGTCCACTTACTGCCATGTTCTCTAGGCATAATTATGTTCTCTAGGCAGGAGAATTGAGTAGTCATTAGACTGGAAGCTACAGTTTCCTCTTGGTGTATGTTTCCATTTGTCTTGTCCTCCACTCAACTATATTTTTTCCTGAAAACGATAGATGATATTTTATAAATACTCGACCTGTACAATATTTGAGCAACGAGTCAAGCAACTTTACAAAGTGTACCATGACACTTAAGGAGAGCCAAAAAATCTCTTCTCATCCATGAGTATGCTTAGAGCATAATGGCTAATTTGATTACATAGAGACATATTACTAATATTCCTAACTTCAAAAGAGCACATTTGAAACAGATTAGCTAAAGCATGTATATCTTCAATCAACGTAGCAGTGTTTGGATTGTTACCTTTCCCAGCTTTTAGCAAGGCAATAAGTTGCTTGTCAGCATTAATGACTTTGATTCTTTGCCAACTTTGTTGTCTTGCCTTCATTGGTGCCAACCTTACTGCTACGGCTTCATCTTGAATATCCCTATCCGAGCTTCTATCTACTAAAGTCCATTCAGCTCTGATCCTCCCTCCAGACTGCTAGGCAACGATGCCAATTCCTAATTTATGGCCCACTGCTGCTTTCTTGGTTGCAATCTAGAATTCCATCAGCTCTCCCTCCTCCCTTCCTCCCTCCCTTGCTTTTTCATTTGCTTCATCTGTTTCTGATGTACTCTTTACATCCTTTCCTTTCCCAACTTCCTCATACTCCATCCATTATGTACTGGCTTTTTGTACAATCTTCAGACCATCTCTTTCCTTCCCTTCAAACTCCATTTTATTCCTGTCTTTCCATAGCTGCCAAAGTATGTTAGCAGTCAAAGCAATATGCTGTCTTCCTTTGTTCCTGCTTGTGGCTTGAACTAATGCTGCCCACCACTTCTTGAAGCAACCTATCTGATTCTGGATTCCATCCCATTGAACTGGTGCGAGCTTCCATACCTTTTGAGCCTGTTCGCAGTGGAATAGAATATGTTCCATAGTTTCCATATTATCTCCACACCTTGAGCAAAAAGGTGATCCTTGTTTTGTTCTCCTGAAAATTGTTTCCCTAGCTGTTAAGGTGTTAGGAATGCACCTCCATATGAATAGCTTGATCTTATGCTTAATGTTCAGTCCCCAGAGAGTTTTCCAAATTTGTGTATTGGAGTCATCATAACTCGATCCAGAATCTCCTTTTGTTTCACTTCCCTTACTCCTCTCTTCCTTAAGCAGAACCTGATAACAGGATTTAACTGAGTACTCCCCATGTTTGCTACGTATCCAGAAGTGCATGTCCCCAGATCTTGACAGACTAATAGGTATCCTCATAATGTTCTCAGCATCTTCTCTATTGAACCTCCCATAAATCTCATTCCTATTCCATCTGAAATTTGAAATCAGATCTTCCATCTTTTGCTCCTCCCCACTGTCTGGCATCCTTGTAGTTGGCCTTCCATTGAGATTGTTTGGAATCCATTGATCTTTCCAAATTCTTATACTCTTCCCTGATCCAACTCTCTTCAGAATGCCCCCCTGACTGCCTCTCTTGCTGATATAATACTTTGCCAGAACTAGGATGAGTTTTTGGAGATCTCACAATTCAGAATGGAATCCTTGGGATAGTACTTAGCCTTTAGCATTCTGCTAACCAAAAGGTTTGGGTATCTGATCATCCTCTAAATCTGCTTTCCCAACAATGCCTTGTTGAAACATAGTAAGTTCCTGAATCCCAATCCTCCTTCCAATTTTGCCTTTATCATTTTGTCCCACGAACACCAATGTATTTTGCTCCTCCCTTCTGATTCACCCCACCAGTATTTGGGCATCGTCCCTGAGATTTCCTTGCATAGAGTAACAGGTAACTCAAAGCAAGACATAGCATAATTTGGCATGGCCATAGTCACTGCTTTTAACATCACCTCCTTCCTTGCTGCACTTAGGAACTTATTCTTCCAACTGTTAAGTTTGGCCTTAATGCTGTCTTTTATGTAGGCAAATACCTGTCCTTTTGTCCTTGTGATCACCATTGGAAGGCCCAGATATTTGCCTTGGTTCATTGTCCTTACAGCTACTAGTGGCTCGCAAGTTTCCTCTTTTTCCCTTTCCTTGGTGTTCTTACTAAAGCAGATAGAGGATTTGTCCAAATTAATCACCTGGCCAAACCCTCTTTCATAGTGATCCAGAATTTCTTTTAACTCCCTTGCTTCTACCCCCATAGCTTTATAGAAAATCAATGTGTCATCAGCAAAAAATAAGTGTGTTATTGCTGGTCCATGTTTGCTGATCCTTAATCCACTTAGTAATCCCTGTCTTGCTGCATTCCTTAGTAAATTAGAGAGGTCTTTAGAACACAATAAAAACAGGTAAGGTGATAGAGGGTCACCTTGCCTGATACCTCTAGAAGGAATCACATAATCCTTGGTCTCTCTATTTATATTGAAGGAGTAGGAGATAGAATTAATGCACTCCATTATCCAATCTACCCACACCTGATTAAACCCCATTTTTTCCATCACAGCTTTTAGATAATCCTATTCAACTCTATCATAGGTTTTAGACATGTCCAGTTTGATTGCAGTATAACCATCCTTACCTTGTCTCTTGTTTTTAAGAAAATGAAGGCATTCATGAGAAATGATTATATTATCCAGAATCTGTCTATTTGGAACAAAGGCTGATTGGTTTTTGCTAATGCAGTGTTCTAGGACAGGTTTTAATCTATTTGCTAGGATTTTGGAGATTACTTTATAGAGTACATTGCAGAGGCTGATTGGCCTATATTATTTCATATCAGTGGGTATTTCCATCTTAGGAATGAGAGAGATAATGGTATGGTTCAGAGATTTGAGCAAATGTCCAGACTAAAAGAAAGCTTTGACTGCTTCCACCACCTCTTCCTTAATGGTAGGCTAGAATTTTTGAAAGAAGAGGGGTGTCATCCCATCAAGTCCTGGTGCCTTAATAGGATTCATGGCAAAGACTGCTACCTTTATCTCATTTTCCTCCACAGGCCTAGTTAGATTAACATTAATCTGGTCAGTAATTGTTTTTTGAATACCATCCAGAACCTCCTCTATACAATTTGTCCTAGTTGACTTAAAGAGTTGCTTATAATATCTAGCTATCTCTTCAGCAATCTCCTTGTCATCAATAGTCCAAGATCTATCCTCTCTCTGCAAATTCCCTATCTTGTTTTTTTTTCTTCTCCTCTTCACCACTGCATGGAAGTATTTAGTATTCTTATCTCCTTTTTGTAGCCAGTTTATCCTAGCTTTCTGACTCCAGTATTGTTCCTCCTCTCTGTAAGCTCCCACCAACTGATTTTTTAGAGCTGCAACTTTTCCCTTTCTTCCTTCAATATCTGAACTTTTCTCCTCCATCAGCTGCTGTTTCAAGTTCGAGATCCTCTTCCTAGAGTTTTCAATAAATCCATTTCTCCACTTCAACAAAGTAACTCTACATCTCTTAATCTTATGTACTACCCTAAATATTCTAAAACCCCTGATATCCTCCTCCCATGCCTTTTTTTATCACTTCTCCAATTCCTTCTCTCTAAATCCATCTTTTGTCAAAGAAGAATTTCTTTCTCTTTTTTCTTTCCCCTGAAATTGTGTCCAGTATCAGCATGCTATGGTCAGAGGCTAAGCTTTCTAAATGAGTGCACTTAGGATGCTCAAAAATGTTACTCCATCCTCCACTGCTAAGCCCTCTATCTAGTCTTTGTCTTATTTCACCATCTTGCCACTGATTACACCAGGTCCAAGGGTTTTCTTCGAACCTAATATCAACTAGTTGGTTCTCCTGAATGAAATGTCTGAAGTCATAGAAGCTGCATTCCTCCCTAGATCTGCCATCACACTTCTCCTCATTTGAATATAAATCGTTAAAATCCCCCATAATTAGCCAGTTTTCCCCCCACAGAGCTTTCCTCCTGCCAATAACCTCCCATTGCCCTTTTCTCATCTGTTTATCACAACTGGCATAAATACCAATCAACCACCAATCCTGTTTCACTTCTTCATCCTCTAGCAGCACTTCAATGTTAAAGGCTGAATGTTTAATATCTTTAACTTTTGTTTCCTCATTCCACATCAAACTCATACCTCCAGACTTATTCATAGCCTCTATCATATAGCAATTATCAAAGTTCAGAATCCTTTTCACCTTCTCCATATACTTAGCCTTGTTCTTAGTCTCACTCAGGAAAATCATGTCAGGGAGAGGAGGTTGTTAACCTCCTTCAGGTGGGGAATTGTCAAGAGGCTCCCTGCACTTTGACAATTCCACACCATAGCTCTCATTGATCTTTTGGGGACTAGTGCGGGTTGATCCCTTCCCCTCCAATCCTCTCATAAGCTATCCCCTCCTTCTGATCTCCTCTATGCCTTTTATCTATGTGTTCCTGATCCACAGCCTCTTCCATATCTTCATCTCTCAGTTGGAACTTCCTCTTTGTCCCATTGATCTCCTTTAGAGGAGTTCTTACCTCTCTTGGACCAGTTTGCACTCTCCTGAACCTCTTCCCTTCTTTCCTCAATCCTCCTTGGTTTTCTTTATTGGTGGTCTCATCAGCTTCCATACTCACTAGCTCCCTACCAACACTGGGTCTGCCTTGTACTCCTTCTTCACCTCCTTCGATCCTCCCATTCTCTTGTATCATCTCTCTTTCTAGGACTCCTTGGCCCTCCATGTCCTCCTCATTGCCTAAATTATCAGGTAAATTAGTGTATCTAGCCTCCTCAAATCTTACTTCTTCCATTCCTGTACATGTCCCTACCTTCCTGCTTCCCTATCTCTTTCTCCATCTCCTTCCCAGCACTCCAATTTGGTATTATCGTACCTATTTTCCCCCTATTTCCAACAGGTAATCCATCCTTCTCCACTATTTGTTTGTGTAGTTCTTGCACCATGCCTCCACCTGACCTACTAACATTCCTGTCCTGAGGCAATTCAACTCCTTTGTCCTGTCTCTCTAACTCCTCTATTCTGATAATTTCCCCATTTCTCACCTTCCAAACCTGTTTATGAGTTGTCCAAATCTTTTGACTAATCTCTTTTTGAGGGGAGCATCTTCCCCCAAACACCCTCATCCACAGACCATATTGATTCTGATATTGTCCCTTTTGCACCAACACAGGGGACTTGCAATTCTTTTCACTATGCCCTATGACACCACAACTATAGCAGAAGTCAGGACACTTCTCATATTTAAAGGACAACCATTTATTCAGTCCATTAATCTGAACCGTGGTTCCTCTCAATAAAGGCTGCTTAATATCTACCAGAACTAAAAGTTTCATATGTTTCCCTTCCTTTCCTCCAGTCCGAGGAATTAACACATCCTTAACCTCATCAAATATGGTTCCCACTTTCTTCCCTACTGCCTTAGATAGGCAGTGAATGGGGAGATTCCACACTTGCACCCAAACTGGAGCTAAACTAAAAGCATCTTCATCCTCTTCAATCCCCACCTTCCACTTCCTAAGCACTAATATCTGATTGTCAATAATCCACGGACCTCCCTCTATAATCCGTTCCTTATCCTTAGAATCTGGGATAGTAAACTGGAAAACATCAGGTCCTAATTCTACCACCTTAAGACCTTTGGGCTAACTCCAAGCCACGGTAACAAAGTTTTTAACTCCTGCGAAATTAACTATTTTCTCCCCTCTTATTTTCCCTATGATGCAACCTTGGCATTCTGTTATCCCTTCATCTATGTCCCCCAGATCTAAGAGAGTACTCCCGACTTCGTTCTCTGAGAGAGCAAATTTCTATAACACCTCTACCAACTCCTCTTCCATCGCGCTACTAGAGAAAGACAGATTGTATCCTAAACACTTACCACTAGAAAAACGCTAATCCCCTAGCTCTATGGAGGTAAAAGAGCAAGTAGCCAAATCCAGGTGAACTCACCAAACTGACACTCCAAGCACAGAAAAAAAAAAACAACTAAACAAGAGCAAAGACAGTTATACTACCTAAACCAGATTTCTTACCTTTTATAGAGTTATTGGAGTTTCCGACCAACCGCTTAGGAATTGCGCCTGCCGATGTACTTTTGTCTTTTTTCCTTTTGCTTTTTTTTTTCTTCTCTCGTTAATACCTCTCACCCACCGACCAGCTTCACTATCAGGCTTCCTTAAATGCTGCTTCTTAATGGTGACTCATCCAATTGTTTGTTGAATTCTTAGTGTTGAGAACCAGACTTGCACACAATGTTAGGATCGAGAAGTTAGCTCAGGCTCAAACTTTTGAGTTTTGTTCATTGGTTGTTTGAAATTTTCAAAAGCTTGAAGTTTCCACCAAGGGGAAAGAAGCTCTCTTCCCAAGAGAGAGAAAAAGCCTCTACACGTGAGAGGATTATGTCTCCACACCCCTCCACTCAACTACGAGACTGAAAAAATAGACTACTAGAAAGCAATGTTTTCAGAACCGGACTGGACCGGCCGGTTCGACCGGTCCGATCGCGAACCGGCCATGCTATCGGTCCGGTCCAATATCAAACGGGATGGTAATGGAAACCCGCTACGAATCGCACGAACCGCTAAAACCCGTATGAACCGCGAACCGGCGGTTCTCAAATTTTCAAACAATATTACCTCAAATTCAAAATAATAGCAAGAATGGAGACTGCCAGATTCGAACTCGGGTCTCTGAGCCAACAATAAGTTCAAAATAATAGCAAGAATGGAGACTGCCAAATTTGAACTCGAGTCTCTAAGCCAACAATAAGGTACGTTGCCACTACACCACAGCCCAAGGATGAGGTATTGTTGTGTAGAATTATACTTAACTAAAAAATAAAATCAGATTAAATAAAAAAATCCTAACATTAAGAAAGTGCAGACGGCACATTTCATTTCAATTTCACTTCCTCCGTTTCTCACTCTCGGCTTCTCTAGTTCGCATCTTGATTTTTTTTAAAAAAATTTTTTCTTCATATTTCAAATATTCATATTTCTTTTTTTCATTTTTCTTACAAAATCTCATTCTCTCATGGCTCTTTCTTTTTAATTTTCAACTCTCTCTCTCTCTCTCTCTCTCTCTCGCTATTCTCTTTTCTTTTGTCACTCCCTTTTTAATCAAACCTCTTTATTTTTAATTTATTGATGTTTTCTTCCATCTTTTAATTTTGTTTTTGTCCATTAAATTGAAAAAAGTTAAAAAGAATTATTTTTCTTTAACCCAAATTATTTGATGTCACGACCACTCACTTTTATCTCATTTTTTGTTTCTTATTAAGTTTACATTTCTATTTTTGATTCTCTTGACTTCCTTCGAACTCCAAACTTTCTTTTTTAAATTGCAATATCTAAATCCCAAAGCGTAAATTAAAATTTAAGTTCACAATGTCTAAATTCTCATAGACGTGAATTTTGCATAATTTCAAAATATTGTGATATTTTTGGGTTGGATTTAGATATAATTGAAATTGAAATGAAATTTATTTGTTTTAACTTATAATTTAAAATTTTTATTTTTAAAAATCCAAGTTATTAAAAAATAGTAAACTTTTCATCATATAAAGTATTAAATTAGTCCATTACATGTCTTATTTTGTGCATATATATATTTATATAAATTATTTTTTAAAAAATTTATTGAATCGGGGTTGAATCGATCCGATCGGTTGAACCTCGACCCTTTCACTTCACCGATTAAATTAAGGTCTAATAGTTGAACAAATTTTTGACACTATTTATCTAGGTAGTGATTGGTTACGAAGATTTTTTCCTGACGTTTTGTTTTCTAATTCTATACTGACATCAGAAACCAACGAATTTGTTTGCCTTTTTTTTTTTGTTGGGACCCGGGGGATGGGGCTTGGTCGGGGCGGGGTTGTTAGATATCCTAAAGGAGGAGATCGCACTCAACGTCGTCGTTCGCCACATGAAAACTATCCCTTCTTCGTTCTTCGTTGTATGGTGGAATCTTGGAGAATCAAGGCTCAGTAGCAAGTGAAGATTGTAGGATGATCCTTTAACTTCTAACAGAGGTAATATTTTTTAATAAAATTCAAATTTTTGTTTAAAATTGAAGAATTTGTGGGAAGAGCGGCTTGGATGAATTGAGGATATCAAATGTTTAATTTTGGATGGCTCATCTTCATGTTTTAGACTTTGAAAGCTTAATAGTGATTGCTTTCCATGAATTTGTGTTACAATTTAGTGATAATTTTGTGGGTGGATGATTATAATTCAGCAGTTTGACAATTGTTATTCATGTTTCAAAAAAGTTAAATTTATGTATAATTTCTTTGAGAAAGAAAAAATTCTGGAGTTGCATACAAAGTAGTCATATCTGATGTCGTGTCATGGCCATTAAAATCTTTGGGGAAATTGTCATCTTTTACTTGAATCGGCTCTTCGAAACAAAATGAACAAGTGTTCTTAAGCTGCAGGCTTTGTTACTCAGAACAGCGTCTATTGTGGAGCTTACTGCCTAAAAAAAATGCAGCCAATCAAGCTTCTGCATTGCTTGAGTAGTGAATTGCCGCAGTTAAACGATGATGATTGTTATGATGGATACAGATCTAGTAAAGAGAATGTGACCATTCCAAGGTTTAATGGAGAAGAGGCTTCTAACTTAGATTAGTTTGCTCTGATGATGCAAATTAGTAGGTCCTATAGAAGACTGGAAAATATGAAGTGCCAAATTGAGCGATGCGAATTTAACGAACTGAGATGTAACATCATCAAGAAACTAATCACCAGCAATTTAGAGATGAAGGAAAAGTTAAAAAAAGCAAATGTTTGTCGAGAATTAACAAAATTTTCCAGTTCATTGTCCAGCAGTTAGAAGTTCCTAACATCTTTGAGCAAGTCATGTGTGATATGTCCATTAGTAGATTTAGATACAAAATATATATTTGAGCATATCTTCTTAGAAATGAATTGAAGAAATGGATAAGCTGATGAAATTTGATTAAATAGACTTACAAATGATCAGAGGAAGGATAAAGTAACTTGATCCAAATCATGCCCATCATCTCAAGTGTAAACTCTTAACAAGGACTTTGATTTCCCTATTTTCTTCCCCAATCTTAATTGCTGACTTTTCTGCAGATTCTCCTCACCAATGCACTTCAATCATCTCCAATGTGTATATGTTCACAAAATCCTCCGGAAGTTTTTCAAGGTCTTTTCAATTTTGTAAGATGAGTCTTTCAATCTTGGGGAAATCATCAGAAGAGGCTTTCCATTGAGGAATGTTCAGTTTGTATAAGCTCAAGAACTTGAGTTTCTGAAACTCTTCTTCCACATCCCATATTTTGCCCTCAAAGGCACCAGAAAATAACTTGAGAACTTCCAGGTTTGGTATTTTCCCGCTTGTGGAGGTGTGACTCCATGGAAGGACAGAGTTTGATAAAGTCAATTTCTTTAGATTCAATGGGAGATTGAACTCGCCATTGTTAAGAGGTTCCCATAGCAGAATATCTTGAGTGACTCTAGATGAGTTAGAAAGTTCAATCTTGGAAACTGATTGCAATTCGAGGAAGAATCATAGAATATGCAACTAAGTTTGCAAAGATTTGGAAGCTTCTCTATTATCCTCTCTGCATCCTCACCACAAGAAAGAGATGGGCTGGAAAAGCTGCCCAAATTTTCTAATACGAAGCAATCACCAAACTGTTCATCATCTGAGTTGAAAGAAACGTGGAGGGTTACATGAAGATACCTTAAACTTGTGATGCGCCAAATAGTATTTGGTAAGATGATCTTACGAATTAATCCCTTCACAATAAGAGTTTCCAGTTTCCTGAGGCTGGCTATTGATTGTAGAGTGGATTTCAGATAGCCTCCAACTGCTAAATATCTCAATTGTATCAGGAGTCTAATTTCAACGGGAAATGAAAGACCCAAATTGAAGCATTCAAAATCCAACACACTAAGTAATTTGAAGTTGTGCCAAATGAATGAGACGTTATAAGGGCGTTCAGGTTTTTGAATCTGTAGATGCAGAGAACACCAAAGAGCAGGTGGCGAAGCCAGAAGATCTTGATTCAACAAAATGGTTTCGCTTCAAAATATAGCCAACTGATTGGATGCAAATGATGCATGGTGGTAAAAATCAAACGCGAAACAATAATCAGTACTAGATAAAGAGGCATATGGTTTGTCATACCTGGTTATCAGCTGAAAGAAGTTCTATCTTGGGTTTTAGACTTACAGAAATTAAGGATAAGATCACGGAGGCGAAAAGCTCTAACCCTGCTGTTGGATCTTCTTCTGGAGATTATCACCAAGCTTCTGTCAATCAAATCCATCAAGAAATCCTTGGCTGCATCTTCAAAGCTCTTCTTCCTAGTTTCTTTTTCTCTGTTGCTGAGATCCACCACAATTTCCTGGATCGCTGGTGTACTGTTTCTTGATAACCTCCCAAATATATGTTGGGTGACTTTCTTGGAATCTTGGGCTTCCGCATCAGGGGTTGTCAAACGAATTCCCCTGGCTTTCGTGCTAAGTCTGAACTCCTCCAGCACATTGTCCACCAGAAGAAATCCTGCCATTGACCATCAACCTCAATTGAATCAATTACGTTCTCCACTTTATATGCTGAATCAGTGACTTGATCAACAAGATCTTCTAGCTCTGGATGCTCCTCAATGTCCAACTCTGAAACATTCTCAAAAAAAGACCTCAATGACTTGAGATGTATTTGAATCTCTTCAATGTGGTGCTTCACCAGTGCAGTCGAGGCAGGATTATATTCAGCAGCTCCCCAAGGTTTCTCCATAGAAAATCAGGGAACTTCAGTTTTGAAGTCTTTGGGAATTAAACTATGAAAATTTAGGAATAATCTCTATAAGCTTTGCTTTGGTTGCTTCACCTTATCTAACAGCTCTGAAATTGAAAGCGTGATCATTTCATCTTGTGTTCTCTCTCATTATTTCCTTATCACACAAGATCAAATGACCACGGTTTCAATTTCTGAACTGTTAGATAAGTTGAAGCAAACCAAGGCAAAGCTGGCAGGGATTATTCCTAAACTTCCTAAATTTTCAAAGTTTAATTTCCCAAAGACTTCCAAACTGAAGTTTTCTGTGTATTCTCTCATTATTTTGTTGTCACACAAGATGAAATGACCACCCTTTCATTTTCTGAGCTGTTAGATAAGGTGAAGCAAACCAAGGCAAAGCTCACAGAGATTATTCCTAAATTTCCAAAGTTTAATTTCCCAAAGACTTCCAAACTGAAGTTCCTTGATTATCTGTGGAGAAACATTGGGGAGCTGCTGAAATATAATCCTGCCTCAACAGCACTGGTGAAGCACCACATTGAAGAGATTCAAACACATCTCAAGTCATTGATGTCTTTTTTCAAGAATGTTTCAGAGTTGGACATTGAAGAGCATCCAGAGCTAGAAGATCTTGTTGATCTAGTCACTGATTCAGCATATAAAATGCAGTATGTAATTGATTCAATTGAGGTAGATGCTCAATGGAGTACGTACTTTTTCAGCATCCTAAAAAATACGGCAATTGGTACAAAGGCTTTGAATGCATCCTTTTTGTCCATAATTCTCTTATCTGAGAGATTTAGTGGAATAAACTCGAGCTTCTGAAGGTGGAGCTTGATTTGGTCTTTTCAACGATCCATAAGCCTTTCATCATTCCCGCTCTTCTGTAGTAACAGCTCCATTAGAAATGACTCTTCCTTGGAAATCGAAATCCTAAAATGAAGTATCAGAAGTGAGTTTTTCACCGCAGATGCTGTGATTATCTCGTTCCTAGATGACTTATATAGAGATTTTTCCTCCTTGAACGCTGATTCAATGAGCGCCAACAACTTATTCCTATCTTCTCTCGTTTTTTGGGGCAACTTCTTGGATTATATGCACAGACTCATGCGGATTTGATCACACGCATCCCTAGTATGTTCAAAATTGGGAAGCGCACTGGAGGAAAGTGACGAAGTGTTAGTATTGTTTTTCGTGCTATGGATTTGCACCACAAGGAAAAGCTCTGCTTTAAGAAGACAAAACTTTGTAAGTACCTCAGAACACCAAGGTGAATTGTCTAGAATGGAGATGCCAGTTGACTCATTCAAAGATGCTGTCTCTGCAAGCACTGCATTAATTTCTGGAAAGAAACTTTGTGCTGTGTCCTTGTCATCTAGTATAGCAGTTGTCCAGAAAAAAAGGTTTACCAGGGAACACGCCTCGTTTTGAAAATGTTCATGTTCACGATTGAAGAGATTGCTGCAAAAACTGGAGAATATATTTCCAAGCAGCCTTCCCAGTACAATTACAGTACAGAGCCACAAGGAAATTTAGGTGGAAACTCGTGAATCTGGGATTACTAGGATGAATTTCATGCTGCAAATTCACCAGGAACTCAATCAGCTTACTTCTTGTCACTTGGATTCGGCCTGTGTTGCAATCCAACTCATATTCACTACACCCGTTTGCAATCCATGGGGCCACAGGGAAAACGTGACTAACCCAAGCATCACAACTAGGCCGTACACGAGGTGGATGATGATGATGAGTATGTTGTAGTACATCACCTGTTGCTGCTCCTGAGTACATCACCTATTGCTGCTCCTGCTCAAAAAATTTTCGACCGTCAAATAATGCAACAGGTACTTTTGGATGGACCATACCGTAGCATACAAGGAGTCGACGTGGATCTCTACACTAGAATCTTCATAACCCAAGTGATCAGCCGCCATAGTCCTGATTGTCAACACAATTGATCGAACATGTTCTAGTAAATCTGGGCAAAAGGAAACATCAAGAGGTGGAAGCGGGTGGAGTTGGAATTGGGATGAGCTGTTGCCTCCGCCTCTTGACCACATCAGGTACAAATAGTCAAGAGCTTCTTCAACGTCAGCAATCAAGCGCTTGGTTTTTGTTTCACGATCATGGGCTAATTCGTTCAGGAATTCTTGATCTTGTACCCGGCAACCATCCAACATCTTCATCCTTCCTTCACAGAAACGAATAAGTTCCCGGGCAATCTCCTCACCTGTAGCTTCAATATTCTTGAGGCAGGACTGCATATTTTGCTTCTCGTGTGCAGCAGCATGATCACTCCCCTTGTGAGCGGATTCCCAATGTTTTCTCAAAAGCTCCCAATCATCAGAGACTTTTATTAGGAAATCTGACCGATTCTTTAAGGCGATCCAGACTTGAAGAAGCAGCACCAGCATCAGAAGCAGAATCCATTTATGTCCTAAAGTTTCTATATAGAACAATCTCTCTAAATTACTTTTGCACTTCCTTCACGCAAATTTTTGGCTTTTTATACAATTAGTCAACGCTACCTACTGCATATTTTCTGTTTCCAACCCAAAACAAAGAAACTCTAATGTTTTAGCTACAGCTTTTGGATTGAATTTCAAGATTTAAGATGGATTTTTTTTTAAAAAAATCGGCCTAAATATTTATGGTTAGCATGCAGAAAACAAAAATTTATATGATTCAAGTTTCAATTTACAATCACGGACTACGATGTACCCCGTTATCACGGGTTGCTTACATGTACATCCTTACCAATTAAGTCAATGTACCAATTAGACGAAATCATACTGGTTTCAATTTAAAGTCTGAATGGTGATTCAAAGTGCATTTATTCGCAAATTTACCCCGTAAATGGGTTATATGAATTATGCTTAACACTATTTTAACGTCTGACCAGTCATTCAGATAGATTTTTAATACGTAAAAGCAGTGTCAGCCATGTGAATTCATGTTTGCATTTACCCATCACCTTTGAATCTGACAAGCGCAAATTGGAAATGAAGACTTGGGACTTAATAATTTATTTTCAGTGTGCAACAGCATGGATTTCATTATTTTAATGTATTATTATATATTGGTTTTGTTATCTTGATGTCAACATTTAATAATAGTCGAGAACTCCTCGGCATTGGCTCAGAAAGAACCTTCCCCGGTTAAAACCTTTAATTGGATGGTAACTATTACCTACCTCCTTACCTAATAGTTGTGAATGGTTTCATTGGTTCCAGATTCGAATTTTCTGCAACTTTTACAGCATTTAACAGCTGAGATCGGCCTAAATCGAGTTTGGATTGATATCAACCGTTGATTTGCAATTCAAATGAAATTTCAAGTGGATTTCAAGTTAACGGTCAAAATCAGTCCAAGTTTGAAAAATTCATAGAGGTATTCAATTCAAAAATATGAATTTAGATTGAGTTATTGTTTGAATTTTTTAAATTTGTTCTTTATTCAAATAGTGCTCAAGTTTGCGTTTAATTAGCTTTGAAACCATTGTAACATATTGGCTTTTTATGGGGGGGCCAATGCAAGAGGAGTTGGGAATTTTTTTCAAAATATAAGGGGACAATTGCAAGGGAGAAGGGTATTTTCGAGAAATGGAAGGGAAGGGAAAACAATTGTGACAACACAAACACCTAAATATTAATTAAGTTTTCAAGGCTATTCCTTAAATTCTGCAATATCACCCATCCTTCCACTGTCAAGCTGCAATTCCTTAATAGGTGGCAACACTACATTACTGGATTAGGGGCTTACAAGTTGAATTATGTACTATTCAAACTGGTTGATATTACTTTCGATACATTTGATGTAAATTGATATAGTTTTGGTGTAAATGTCAATTTAGTTGTATAAGTTGACAAGTTCAAATTTGTATCCAAGTTGTATGAATTTGTACTGAAAGTTGCAAAAATTACACTAATCGATTTGAACTAGATGGATGGCCAGGATTATACTAACTGATTTGAACTGGATAAAACTTAACTTGTGAGACCCCTAATCCATTGGGTTGAGCACTTTAGTAATCAATGTCAGATCAAGGGTCTCACAAGTAGAGTTTTGTCCATTTCAAATGTAATTTTTATAACTTCAAGTATAAATTCATGCAACTTACATACAAATTTGAACTTGTCAACTTATATAATTAAGTTGGCGTTTACACCAAAATTGTTTGAATTTACACCGAAAGCTATAACAACCAGTTTGAGTTAGATAGAATTTAACTTGTGGGACCTCCATCCTCGTCCATATCATATTACTGTGCTAACTTGAACGCACAAGTACACATGTACACGTGCAAACGTTCACTAGAAAGATTAATATGGTTATGGTGGAATTAAAGCTTTAGTATCTTCAACTATGCATCAGTTTTGGGCCATTCCTTGTTTCTTTAAGAGCAAAACAATTTGATCTGGTGGTATTACAACATAACTAATTATACCAACAAAACTAGTTAATTTGTTTCTTTTGGGTTTGTTCTAGTATTATTAAGTTGTAATTCTAACCATTTTTGGATTAGTTTATTCATTGTATTGCTTCTACTGTTGCAGATTTACAATAACCTAATAAAAAAAAATACATTGTGATTCTAAAGGGACTACATTGCAAAAGATGTACAGAGAACAGTAAGAGTCATTCAATTTCTAGTTTGCTGAGATTTTTAATCCAAATTATGAGGAGATTATGTATAATTTTTAAAATCATAGAACAGTTATTCTTTTTTAATCTCCTAATAGCCAATAAGATCCAAGCAAACTGGGAATTGAATGACTCTTACTATTCTCTGTACATCTTTTTGCAATGTCGTCCCTTTAGAACCCGAATGTATTTTTTCATTAGATTACTGGAAATCCGCAATGGTAAAAATAATACAATCAATAAACTAATCTAAAAATGATTAGATTTACAAAACATACTAGAACAAGTCCAAAAGAAACAAATTAACTAGTTTTTTTTTTTTTTTTTTGTATAATTGGTGACATTGTAGTACTACCAGATCAAATTTATGCATAGTTCAATTGAAGATACTAATTCCACCACAACCATGTTAATCTTTCCAGTGAACAAGCTTTTGCTTGCATACACGTCTGCATGTCTGCTTGTGCGTTCAAATCAAGACACCAGCATGATATTGGACAGGGATCACGGGCCTCACATATTACTCTCTCCCGCGTTGCATGGTTCCATGACTAGTCTAAGATTGGTTGGGCTTAGACCCATAACTTAATCTCTGTTCAATTTAAATCCCACCAAACCCAGCGCATTGGGCTCCAAATCAGGGACAAACAATCTGCAATAAGATTGTGAAGGAAAAAAAAATGTTTTGGACAATTCCAAACTAAATTTTGCAACGAACTTCAATAGCCTAGTTGTGTCTAAAAAGGACTTCAATGGCCTAAGATAGCTCTTGATTCGATGCCAACTTGTACACAAAGACGAGGAAAATTATATAGATTGATGTGTGGTGTGGCGTGTACTTGTGCACTCACAATATCTTGTAGATATAGTTAGGGATGTTTTGTTCAAAAGAAAAAAGAAAAAGAGAAAAAAGGTTAGGGATGGATTCTATTGATATTTATCTACAATCAAAGTTCTATATATAGTTATGTAGAGATGTAAAATTTCAAAAGAAAAAACAAAAAACAAGATAACAAAGAGAAACCATCCCAAAAGCTTTATGCAGTAAAATTTCCTTTCTTTTGATTGTTTGCTTTCCAATTCAAGCGATCGATTCGCTTTAAGTGAGTTGGCTACCAATGAAGCATAAGGTATAAGACCGGCTTTAGGTTATAAGTTTAAACCTTTGCACCTGCTTTAAAATCTAAAGGATGTGTAGTAGTGCATTTTTTTGGTTTAAAAATGGGAACCACTTCCTCTAGTTCCATCCCTAGATGGGTTAGAATAGAAGTAATATAAGATTGATAATTGACAAAGAAAAAAAAAAAGCTTCCCAATTAGAGCTAAAAAGTCAGATGAGTCCCCGGAACCTTGAATACTATGTCTGTGTTTCATGGAAGAATCTTGATATGAACTCCCCTAAGATTAGAGAAATCTGCAATCCCGCAAAAAAAAACCCCAATTCATAAGGAGATAGGTTTGGACGAAATTTGGATGGAGTTTAGGTAGGCCGGCCATAATTTGGGTGAATATCAAATTGATACGACACTCAATCCACTCAAGAACACGCTTAAAGGAATAAAGATTTGGAGTTAAATAAGAAAATCCCACTCAAGTTTAGGGGAAACCTTAAAGGATCAATGTCATAAACTCTCAATTGTCTATTACAATAAAATTTAAGCCCTTATATAGGCAAAATCCTAACCTAAACCAAAATCCAAACTGGATTTGGATTAATTTCACTTATCTAATAACTAAACTATTCAATTCAACTAAATTAATGGCCTATTAAACTCAAGGTTTAACATAAGATTGGCCCTTTTATTGAGTAAACACATCTAACCAAACGACTTAATAAAAAGTCAAATAATAATTAATTAAAACAGACAAAAATTGGAAAAATCCTAAAAAAATTAATGACATAGAAACTGCAGACAGATTGCACATAAACTCCACCAGTTAAGTGGACAGCAATTTAATATTCTTTCTCGAGTTAAGCCACGTCTTCCAAGCTTCTTGCCTAAACCTCCTTGCATTTGAATTAAATAAATGGAAGATTGAAAAGGCTCCTTAATCCATTTAGCACAAGTTTTGATGTCCGCATCGAATCTTGACCACTGTCTTTGAATATTTTCTTCATGCACAAGTTGAAATAAGTTAATTCAAGAGCTAGGA